CCCACAGAGCAGCTAAAACCTCTGAGCCCACAGAGCAGCTAAAACCCCTGAACCCACCAAGTAGCTAAAATCTCTGAACCCACAGAGCAGCTAAAACCTCTGAACCCACAAAGCAGCTAAAACCTCTGAACCCACAAAGCAGCTAAAACCTCTGAGCCCACAGAGCAGCTAAAACCTGTGAACCCACCAAGTAGCTAAAACCTCTGAAACCACAGAGCAGGTAAAACCTTTGAACCCACAGAGCAGCTAAAACCCCTGAACCCACAAAGCAGCTGAAACCTCTGAGCCCACAGAGCAGCTAAAACCTCCTGCAGATGAAAATCAGCCGATGGTTCAGAATTTTCATCATGTTTTGTGGTTTGTCTCAAACAAACTTGTCCATCTTGTTGCTGTTCAAAGTGGCCTCGCTCAGGATTTATTCAGTCTTTCTGAAGGTCTTTTAATGTTTATTTAAGTTTTTTACACTCCGGCTGCTTCATCACTCATTTTCAGCTGATGCAGCTGAATATTTTTCTTCTTGTTATGAATCGTTGAGTCATAAAAAGGCTCCTAGATTCAAAACTTAACCAGTTTGTGTCAAAATATAAAAAATAAAACGGTTAAATTTCATGTTGAGGGAGTGGCAGCTTGTTTTGAAACACAGCTAAAAATGTGCTGAAGAACCTGAAACTGAGGCAGAACAGTAGCTAAAATGTCAAATAAGCAACGTAAATGCAGAACGCCAAAAGTAGCAAAAACTTTTGTTAAAAGCTAAAAGTAATAAAAGACTACCTAAAAGTTACAGTAGCAACATAGTAACTACCAGCCAAAAGTAGCAAAAAAAAAAAAAAAAAAAAAAAAAAAAAAGCAAAAGAAAAGCTAGAAGCTGAAGTAAAAAAAGCAGCTAAAAATAGCAAAATGCTATCTAAAAGTAATATAAGATGACAAAAACAGAGCCAGTAGCTGAAACAGATTCAAAAGAGAACGTTTTTAAATGGAACATAACTCTTAATGTATTTTGGCTACTTTTAGCTTTTATCGAGTGTTTAGATACTTTTAGCTCCTTGCTTTCCCTTTGATAATTTCAGTTAGCCTTGTGTCACTTTTAGCTGCCTTTTTGAGCCCTAAGTGAGCATGTTGTTTCTTTTTTCTACTTTAGATTTTAGTTTGTATTTTTTTTTATAGCTAGCTATATGCTACTTTAGCAAAAATCTAGCCTAGACTATTTTACTTTTAGCAAGTGTTTTGCTACTTGTGGCTTTTAGCTAACCTTGTGACAATTTGAACATTTTTACATCAAAATCAAAAGTAGCTTTGTGCTACTTCTAGATATATTTTTGTTGATTTAGCATGTCATACCTTTAGCTAGTGTCTTGCTTCTCTTAGTTCAAAGTGAGTGCTTTGCCATTTTTAGCTACACTTTTACAACTTAAGCTTTCAGTTAGTATTTTTTATAGCTAACATTTTGCTACTTTAGCTTTTAGCTACACTGTATTTTAAATTTTAGCAAGTGTTTTTCTACTTGTAGCTTCTGGACTACTTTCTGATAATTTTATTTAACCTTTAGCTACTTTTAGCTACCCGTTGCTACTTTAGCTTTTAGCTAATCTTTCAATGCTTTTAAAGGGTTTTATGCATTTAAAGTGTGCTGTTTCTTTTAGCTTTAAAACTCAGTTTCAGCTTCTTCAGTAAATTTCAGCTGATATTCAGCGCAACATGGGAACAAGTTTTCTTTCAGCTTTACCTTCATCACCTGCCAGTTGTGTCTCCTCCTCTTCCTGTGGCGTCTCCTTCTCTTGTCCGTTCATCTGATCGTCCTGCAGGAGGCGCCCTCCCGTCTCCTCCTCGCCTGTGTCCTTCTCTTCCTCCTCTCCTGCCTCCTCCTCCTTCCCTCCATCCTTCTCGGACTCGGCCTCGCTGCTGGCGTCGCTCTCGGCGCTGAATCCCTCGTCCAGAGCCAGTTTCAGGGGGTGGGACTTCCTCTTGGAGGCGGGCCTCTCCGTTTCCTGTTCCTGCTCTGCTTCCTCCAGCCGGCGCTTCCTCGCGACGGGGCAGGCCAGGATGCTTATGAAACAGGAAGGGAAGGAAAAAGGAACTGGTTCATTAGAAGCAGAAGCTCCTCGAGCGTTCTGATGAAAATCATGCACCACGTTGGGTTCAAAGGGACGGACAAGCAGGAATCAGCTGTTTCAGGATGAAACGAAGCCTGGGGGTGGTGCCATGCTCGCTCAGCCACACATCAGAACCAATCTGGGCCAATTGAGCGGAACGTTTAATGAACAACGTGTATGGAGCGGCGGGCGAGGCAGCGGAGGGTGAAATCCAATAAACTCGCTCTTGTTCTCACCTGAGAGCTGCCGATCGACGATCTATAAACACCTGAAGTCGCCTGCTGAAGGAACATGAGCGAAAACACAGCGCTAAAATCTTCCCCCCAATAAAGAGCTGAGCCCCAAACCCCGAGTCTCACTGGGCCTCTGAGCAGGACGGCAGAGATGAGACGAACAAATGAGTTCATCTCATTTTACAAACTGCTGCTCTCACAAGCAGAGGAAGCTGCTTCACTTAGTTCATGATTTTTATTAAAACCACTGAAGAGGCGCCACAAAACATGATTTATTATTAATGAACTCATCATTAAATGTACTAATGAAGTGACCACTAGTACTAATGAACTAATGATGAACGTATCATGGGTTAATCATGAACTAATGATGATCTAATAATAAATTAGAGATGAAGAAGTGACATAAACTAATATACAGTTAACTTATTGTGAGCTAATCATGAACTAATGAACAATAAACCATATATGTACTAACAATGAACTGATGAACTATTGATAAACTAACAATGTAATAATGATGAGGTAACACAAAAGGAGGGATGAAGATACAAGTAACGATTAAGTGAAGATGCTCTAATCATACACTAACAATAAAATACCAAAGAACTAACAATGAACTAGTAATGAAGTTGCAAGTTAATATTAATGTAACAATGAACTAATCATGAGCTAATCACAAACTTATTCTAAGCTAATGATGAACTAATATTGAGCAATAAACTAAATATGTACAATGATGAACTAATAACGCGCTATTCATACAGCTACAAAGAAATAAGGTAAAAATAAAGTAATGATCTAATATTAAACTACTAATGAACTTGTGATGCAGTAGCAATTAACTAATATTGATGTAACAATGAGGTAATCTCAAATAATTAATTATTAGTAATAATTACTAATTAATTATGAGCTAATTGTGAAATAACAATGAACTAATCGTGAACTTATCATGAACTCATTACAAGCTAATAACTAATAATGAACTAATGAACAAACCATGAACTAATTACAAGTTAACGATGAACTCATCATGAGCTAATGATGAACTAATAATGAGCTAGTTATGAACAAATCATGAACTAATTCTAAGTTAATTATGAACTAATGATAAATTAATAAAAACTAATGCTGAATTAATGATGAACTAATAATAAACTAATGATGAACAATGTCTGTTAGAAAAATATCTCATGACCCACTGGACTGATTTTTTCAAAACATTCAGAAAGTGATCTCTGCGTGAAAATCTACAACTGATGATCGTTTGGAGTCAGTCCAATTCAAGATGGCTGCCACAGCCAACTGACCCATAAAGGAGTATGACTGTTAATTGAGCTGATTGAGCTCAAATCTGCTGTGGTAGTAGCTGAGCGTCTTCCTCAACATATTCTCAGAACACGGACATATAGAATAGATGCTTGTTTAACAACTATTGGAGTCAGCTGTGTCTGTTAGCGAAATATCTCATCAACCGCTGGACGAGTTTTATTCTCAGTGATGAATGGACGTCAAACACTGGAAGCCAACACAATTCAAGATGGCTGCCGCAGCTAATTTGTTAGCCTTTAGGGGGATGTCTGATGAAGCGGGCTTCGATGCTGTCGTTTTGCAACAAAAGACGATCTTGTGGCGGGCGATAAGCATTCCTTCATGGCTGCCATTTTTCGTTATCGGGGACCGCCTGCTAAGGCAGCACCTATTATTATCCACCTGACAGGGTTTCTTAACTTTATACCTTACTCTTCCGTCACCTTTAATGTGGCCTGAAACACAAGGTGTACCCCCACAAGTGTCATATCAAAACGACCGGCTCGTCACTGCCATGTGTGCTTTTACTTTTATTGACGTTTCGAGTTACCACGGCGACGTCATTTGCAAACAAAGACGCCATTCTTCTCATTCAAAATGCCTGATGGAAGTCAACAGCTAACTGCTATATCTCAACCAGAGCTGAAATTTGCTCTGGTCGTAGCTGAGAGCGAGTTTTCATACGACCCTAATGCAAATCAAAATACCAAGATGGCCTCCTGAGCTAAAAAGGAAAAATACTATAATCAGCTAATTTTAGAAATATTGAGCTAAAATTTTCTGTGGTCACAGCTAGACCTAGATAGATACGTTTCCTATCACATACTGAACCCAAGTCAAAAATACAAGATGGCCGCCTTGGCTAAAAGGTAAAAAAAATACGTTAACTCATCCATTTTTAGAACTATTCGGCTGAAATTTGGTACAGTGGTAACTGAGAGCGAACCCAAACACAAAGTACTGTCAAATGAAAAATTTAAATTGGCAGCAGCGTGGCAGCCCCCGTCAAAGTTTCTACTGTAAGCCTGCAGATGGAGGCCTGGGTTGAAGAGAGGAAGCAGAGGTGGAGGACAGACAGGGGGCGGGGGTGTGACCTGTCCTACCTGCGGTGTCGTGAGTATCTCCCACTGATATGGCCGGAGCCATTGCATCCAGGGGTGGGGCAGCTGGACGGGATGATGGAGGTTAGAGAGACGTTTCAGACACGAGACATTTCAGCAGCAGCAGCAATGACAAACACAGGCGGTAAAAAAAAAAAAGATCAAGCAGAACAAAGCAAAGACATGCACGCTGGGCGAACGTGTCACACGGATGCACATGCACAAAGGAGACGCGCACGCCGCCCAGCAGGCACACGTGATGCATGGATGCAGGTGGCGCCCGGGCGCTGTGATATTGTGCGTCGTACATCAACCCTGGCCTATATCCTGTTGGTGCGAGCGATACGGATCAGCCGGGACCTGCTGTAATTTCCCCTGCTCTCTTCACCATCATCATCATCATCACCATCGCTCCTGCTTCGGTTCGGGTTGCCATGACCCCTCAGGATGGCTCATTTCAATTCTCATCAACCTCCTCCTGCAGTGGCCCCATAATCCTCCAATTATCCTTTTTATTAATTTCACTTGTAAAAACTGGGGGGGGGGGGGGGACCAAAACACAAAACCTGCTCTTCTTCTCTCTTCTTGCTCTGTAGACGTCGCTTCAGCTCCACGTGTATTTATTACTGGGGCCACGTGTGAAGGCGGGCGATCATGTTTTGAACCTCAGGAGACGCCACGTCTACCGGTTCTACCGGGTCGCAGAGGTCCAGGAGACAAACCCAGACATCCCTCTTCCCAGCAACACCCTCTAAAGAACAACACATGAAACCAGAAGTTCTGAAACCTGTAGAGACTTCTCTGCATTGATGGAGTCTTTCCAGATGTTTCAGCTGCTCCTGCCAGAGGCACTAATGCACCCCCATACCATCAGAGAGGCAGGCTGTTAAACTGCGATCTGATAACGGTCTGGATGTTCCTCTCCTCTTTTGTACGGCGGACGTGGTGTTCATGGTTTCCAAACAGAATCCCAGATTTGGATCCGTCTAACCACAGAACCCACAGAACAGTTCTGGTCCGTTTGAAACGAGCCCTGGTTCAGAGAGGACGACATCGTTTGTGGATGGTGACAACATCTGGCTTCTTTGCTTGATAGAGCTTTAAGAAGCATTTGTGGATGAATTCTTTACAGATAGTGGAAGTGTTCCTGGACCCAGAACAGAACCAGACCTGGTTCTAATGCAGTGGCCTCAGAGGACCCGAAGATCAGGACCATCCAGTGATGACCTTCAGCCTCGACCTTTGAGATTTCTACAGCTTCTTCTAATCTGTTGATGATTTTATGAATGGTATTGTTTTTCTAATAAGAACTTTATTTTGAAATTGTTCCACTAGTTCTAGATGCAGTTTTCCAGACTCCTGAACCTCGGCCCATCTTTACTTCTTCTCCGTCTCCTTACTGACCTGTTGACACAGTTATTCATCAAGTGCTCCTCTAACAGCTCGTCTCAAAGTTTGAGATGTTCTGCCGCCATAAAATTTAAAATGTCTCAGTTTACTGCGTTCTGTTGTGAATAAGAGTCAGGTTTAGGAGATTTACAAATCATTGTGTTTTCTGGCCTCTCTCCGGGGGCCGCGTTTGGCCCATGAGCCGCTGGTTGATCCGATTGTTTCTTCACGGCAGGAAAAAGGGCTGAGAGTGAAATCAGCAGCAGCAGCCTGCTGGAGGCGCTGACCAGGAGCTGAGTGCTGATGATGGAAAATACAAACTAAGAATATTCAGCTATCGAGTCTACGAGTAGGGTGGGGGCTGGGGGGGCTGCACGGCGCAAACATAAAAGAAGTTCATGAAAGGGTTTCGCCACAAACATGAAGGTGTTTCCTTACCTCAGCTCTTGTCCTACGAGCTCAATAGCAGCTGAAACAGAGGGGGGGGGGGGGGGGGGGACAAGGAGGAGAACAAAGGTGAACGAGTGCTCAGAACGCCACGCTGCTGCTGAAAGAAACCCAGATCAATAAATCACAACCGAACACGAACCCCACGAGGGTTTCCTCACGGAGCGAGATCAGGAGGAAAACACACGCCCACGCCGCTCTGCACGGAAATATGCACAACGAACGTGCACAAATACAGACGCTAAGCACACACACACGCAGAACGCCTAAATCAGCCAAACTGCTTCAGAATAAAAGAGAATTAAACGCAGACTTCAGCAAGAAAACAGGATTAATTGTTCTCTCTTTAGTCTCATGGCTGGTAACACCAAGTGAAAAAGGGAAGAACTGCCTTCATCAGTAGAAAACAGCTCTTTCAGGGACGACTAACAGGAACTAACTTGGAAAACATAAATGAAGGCCGGCAGGCGGTGCGCCGCTCTGGGCCGGGTCGACCCGGACTCTGACGACCGGAGGAGACAACCCTGCTGTCGTGATCAGAAGAAGAGACATTTCAGTCGAGGCTCAGATACAAGGAGCAGACGTCAGGGAGACCCCGGGCTCGAGAGCAGAGAGAAAAACACACAGGTTGTTGTGTTTGTGTGAGTGTGTGTGTGTGAGTGTGTGTGTGTGTGTGTGTGTGTGAGTGTGTGTGTGTTATGTTTCTCCATCTTTCGTCATGCAGTGGGAAAAAAACTGAACGACTTCTTTCTCTGAACTGCCGCTCATCAAACATCAAACGTCCACCCAGGCGCTCGTGAGCTCAGAGAAAACACGGACAAACGTGCACAAAAACAGCCGTCCACGTGCGCTCGGCCTTAGACGACATGTCTGTGTCCAGACGAGGCAGGAGTGATGAGCCTTTGAACGTTTTCGGACACGCCGGTTTGCAGGAGGAGCAGATGAGTTTAGACTCAACGTTCAGGGAGACGAACATTTCTCTGAACGTTGATGAAGCGTTCTCTCTGTCGTCCGTTTTTCTGTCGTCCGTTCTCTCTGCCGTCCGTTTTTCTGCCGTCCGTTCTCTCTGCCGTCCGTTCTCTCTGCCGTCCGTTTTTCTGCCGTCCGTTCTCTCTGCCGTCCGTTTTTCTGCCGTCCGTTTCTCTGCCGTCCGTTTCTC